ACATATCATACGCAATTGTATTGATACTGAATTGTGGAATAAAATTGAAGTGTTTGTTAAAATTTCAAAGTACTACTTTGTTTGCCAATCAGCACGCGACAATACGCTGTTCAAACTATTGAACGAAATTGTGTGGACTGTCGATAAGGCGGGCATTTTTAATTTTAAATATAAATTATAATTAAAAAAAAAGAACATAAGAGGCAGAGAAAACGTAAATATAAGTATTGAACTGTTTTTGTATGGTATTTATGATCTATTTGAATGACACAGCTTTGCAAGCAAACAAATCATAATGCGCATTATGGTGTTTGTTTGCAAAGCTGTGTCATTCAAATAGATCATAAATACCATACAAAAACAGTTCAATGCTTAAATATATAACGAGGGTGAGAAAATGTTGGTAAAAATAATTAACGAAGGCCGCTTTGGCCTGAGTAAATTATTTTTCCAACATTTTCGAATCCCGAGTTGGTAATACTACATAATATGCAAATTAGACGCTGTTCTTTTGCGCGTGCAAGATTGATCACGTAATCGTGTTGCCCCGTTTTAACTTGATCAATGTCGCGCCAACATTTCTTAGTTCGTAGGGTTGGGATTCCCGGATTGCGTTTACTTCTAAAACCATCATCATCGTACCGATATCAAGCGGATTTTCTTGGAAGTGCCAGTGATACAACATCATACGATAGGCCTGACATGAGTTGGCATATTTAGTTGGTTGCCATGACGTGATGGAAAGTCACTGACCGGCTGATCATGACGCGACCTTCACCTTCACCGACTTTACCGGACAGCTGTGTTTTGCAACCACTGTTCAGACCGATGCTACGTGTTGCAACATTATTCTTCACACACGATATGTACCTGTAGGCTAATAATGCTCGACTTGAACTTGAAGCCATGTTGATTTCTTGAAAGCAGACGACGTTTTGCAGACCAGAAACAACTGAACACGTGTGACGTCAGATACGATGTTTATTTCAATCAATCAAACATTGGCACGCTATCGACATCGTTCGTCAAAACATGAAACCACATACACACACTGCACACATCGTGAAATGTACGGCACT